TGAGGGTTATAGGGAAGTGGGATATGTTGTTGTTGCATTTGATGTAATTTATTAGTGGTTGTATTTTTTTATAGTGTGATAGCACTAGTGTTGTTATTGGTGTGTAGAGAGAGAGAGAGAGAGAGAGAGAGAGAGAGAGAGAGAGAGAGAGAGAGAGAGAGAAGAGAAAGAGAAAGAGAAAGAGAAAGAGAAAGAGAAAGAGAAAGAGAGAGAGAAAGAGAGAGAGAGAGAGAGATTAAAAAGAGCTGACCACATGTTAGCACTAAAGAGCGATAGAAAGAATAACTAAAACACAAATAAACAAAAGCAACAGTTTTATCAGACAGGGCGAGGAAAAGCTATGATTTATTGGCAACACAAAGCTACAAGGAAGTGAGACAAAGGAAGAGAGAGAGAGACAGAGAGACAGAGAGACAGAGAGAGAGACAGAGAAAGAGAAAGAGAAAGAGAGAGAAAGAAAGGGAGAAAGCGAGCGAGAAAAAGAGAAAAAGAGAGAGAGAGAGACAGAGACAGAGACAGAGACAGAGAAAGAGAGAACAGAAAGAAAGGGAGAAAGCGAGCGAGAAAAAGAGACAGAAAGAGAGAAAGATCGAAAGAGAGAGAGAGGGAGATAGAGCGAGCGAGAGAGACAGAGACAGAGACAGAGGACAGGACAGAACACAGACAGAGAGAAAGACAGAGAAAAAAGAAAAGGAAAAGGCGAGCGAGAAAGCGAGCGAGAAAGAGAACAGGAGAAAGAGAAAGAAAAAGATCGAAAGAGAGAGAGACGAGGGCGAGCTCCCTAGCTCCCTAAAGCCGTATCGACGCCGGAGCTCGTCCAGGGAGGCCGTTCGAAGGGAGCTTTGCGCGCTAATTCGGAGGTTCCTGTCACGCCCGATCACGCTGATTATTGCTCTGGCGTGCAGTATGGGGGAAAGGGAGAAAGGGAGAAGGAAGAGGGATGGGGTAGGGGGAGAAGGGGGGAGGGGAGGGATGGGTAGGGGAGGGGGGAGGGATGGGTAGGGGAGGGGGAGGGGATGGGTAGGGTGGGAGGGAGATGTAGGGGAGGTTGTAGGGGGGGAGGGGAGGGAGGGGAATGGGGAGAGGATGGAGGGAGGGGAGTGGGTGGAGAGGGAGAGGGATGGGTGGGGGAGGGGGAGAAGGGAGAAGGGAGAGGGGGATGGGTAGGGGAAGGGAGAGGGGAGGGGATGGGGGGGAGGGAAGAGGGAGAGGGATGGGGTGGAGGAGGTGGAGGAGAGGGATGGGAGAGGGTGGGAGGGGAGGTGTAGGGAGAAGGGAGAAGGAGGGGAGGGAGGTGTAGGGAGGGGGGAAGGGAGAGGGGATGGGGAAGGGAAGTGGGGGGAGGGATGGGGAGAGGGAGGGATGGGTAGGGGGAGGAGAAGGGAGAAGGAAGGGTGGGAGAAGGGAGGGGAAGGGAAGGAGGAGGAAGGGGGAAGAGGGTGGGAGGGGGAGGAAGGGATGGAAGAGGGAGAGAAGGAAGGGTGAGAGGTGTAGGGAGAAGGGAGGGAAGGAGATAGGGACGGGAGAGGAAAGGGAAGGGGAGGGTGGGAGGGAGGGTGGAGAAGGGTGGGAGGTATAGGAAAGGGAAGAGGGAAGGGTAGGGAAAGGAAGGATGGAACGAAAGGAATGGAGGAGGAAGGGAAACCAGAGTGGGTTGATGAGGTGAGATGATGGAGAAATAGGATAGGAGAGGGAGTATAATAGGGGGAGGGAGGGAGGAATGGAGGGGAAGGGAGGGAAGGAGGAATGGTAAAGGTATGAGCATCTAAGAAAAGAAGGAGAGGCAAGTGAAGGAAAAGGTAAGAAAATAAAATATATAATAAGGAGAAATTAAGAAAAAAAAAACATTAAATTATTTTTTTTCTTAAATTCTCATTATTGATGATACCGTTTTGCTGTTGTTTTTTATTATTTATGTTAACTATTATTGCTATTATTAGTAGTCTTCCTAGCATTAATACTTATTGCTTAATTAATTCCTATTAGTATTCATCTTTTTGCTTCTACTGAATAATGTTACAAATAAATACTATTTGTCAAAAAAACGTTGCGTTCAACATTTTTGCTATTATTAGTAGTCTTCCTAGCATTAATACTTATTACTTAATTAATTCTATTAGCATCCATCTTTTTTTTCTACTGATACTGTTAAATATACTATTGTCAAAAAAAGTTGCGTTCCTGAAAACAATTTTTGCTAATTATTAGTAGTCTTACTAGCATTAATACTTATTGCAGAATTATTCCTATTAGTATTCATCTTTTTACTTCTACTGATACTGTTACAAATATACTATTGTCAAAAAAAAAAAACGTGTTGCGTTCACTAAAAACAAAAAGGCGATTGTTGAGGATATTTTTTTGAAACGCGAATAGAAAAAGCGTTGTTGGTGGTATTTGAGCTTTGTAGGCTGTTCGTATGGACGCAAACCTATATAAACCCTATATATAGAGATGGGGAAGAGGGGAGAGAGAAGAAAAAAAGTTACCTGGAATATTG